CCACAAGCATCTGCTCTGTGCATCGCTCCTGCAACCCGACAATCCACTAGTAAATCATGAGAGAGAAAACCATCAAAAGAACTCTGGCAACCTGCCTTTGGGGCCGGGGGGTATGGTCTACAAAATTTTCCCTTCTTTTATGGTTGTTTCTCACTGTAATCATAAAAAAGGTCTTATAAAAACATTTGTCCTAGGGAATGTTTGGCGATGCAGCATGCTTGCAAATTGTTCAGTGTCTAAATACATCAGCAACCCATCTCTGCAAGTCGTCACTGCAATCAAACACGGCTCCTCTTTCTCTTGACTATAAATGGTCTTTGCTGAGGACAGGGTGGAGGACAGGTTTAAAGAGCGAGGAAGCGCTCCCTCGAGCTGATGCCCTCCCCTGGGAAGAGGAGAGTCCAGACGAACAGGAGCATTTCTAGAGCACGGGTCCCCAAGGAGGAGAGAGGACTGGGTTTGATCCTTACCTCTCTCCATGATTTTTGCTCCAGCTGTTGGACCTTGACCCAGTACAGTGCTTTAGCCCTTGAACTCTGGCACACGCACAGTCCCATTGACCTCAGAGACTTTAGCTCAGTGCTGACCTCAAACGCAAGGCCCAGAATTGGGGCAGGTCCCCAGCCCCTCCCCAGATGGCCTTTTCAGGAATACACAGCCCCTTTCTTCCACAGGCCCTCTCCTTTTCCACAGTGGTTGCTCTCTCAGAGTAGATGGGAGAGACACACAACCTCTGATATTTCTGGCGTTAGGTGACATCCTTCTAGTCACCCTCTAAAATACAGCTGTTACCAAGTCAATCAAGAGCCGGAGCATTATGACCTTCTCCACAGAGGAGCAGAGGGGTTAAATCTGTAAGCAAGCCTTTGATGTCTGCAAGCTTCATGTGGTACAAAACCTTCTACTTTGATGTTATTTTTAAAAGAGACGAAACTCAGAAGGTGTGTGGTGCACGAGTCCCAGGGAGCACTCGGATCCGGCCACCCGTGACTGCAGGCACAGGGACTGAGCTCTAACGCGGCTACTTCTGCTCAAGGCTCTGCTGTGACAGAAAACGTGACCAAACGTGTCTCACTCTCACCAGCTTCTCCCAGACCAAACCCACCTTTGCTCTGCCTGTGGAGAACCAGGCACTTGCTGCCCTGAGTCTTCCCAGAGGAGCTCCAGACCTGACCTCAAAGGTGAAGAGGACCCTGCCCTTGCCGATCCCCCAGACCCAGGCAGTGCCGGTCCCTCTCCTCTCGGCCACCACCCGCCGTGGCTGGGAAATTCCCCAACTTCACGGGGCCGTGGGAGGGGTAAGGAAGCCTGTCTCTCTATCCCACCAGCAATGCAAGCCTCCTGCACGAGCTCTCCATCGTGTGCAACACCAGCATCTTGCACACCGGTGGCAGGAAGGTCTAAGCCGCGTGGAGGGACCTGCCACGGGCACTAGCATGCTCTCCTACCTTACGCAGCACTTGGGCCATGGCTTCTCCTATCCATCCCAGCATCCCCACGGCTTTGCCAACAGGTTGAGCCCTTCTCCCAGGGCCCGACAGAGCTGCCAGCAGGGACAGGCTCCTCTCCATCCCCAAGCTCACTTCACCTCCCTTCACTTTTCCCTGCCTGCCTTCCCCTCTCCTGCCTCCTCCCACGGGGAGTTTCCCAGCAGCTCAGTAATTACCATCATCATCACCAATGCTAATAACACCACCACAGCTCCCGCCATCCAAAGCTCAAACAACTTTACAGCCATCATCATGCCTCTGTAACCTCCCCGGGGTAGGCAGGGAAGCAGCATTGCCCCATCGCACAGATGGGGAAGAGGGAGGTAAACAAGAGGCAGTTGGTAGCAGAGATGGGCAGCGAAGCCGGGAGCTCTGACTCAGGCACTGCGCCCGCAGGACCTCCCTGTCCCAGTTCGGTCCGCTGCAGAACAGACCCTTGGAAGGAGGTCAGGGGCTGTTTGAGAGCAGGATTTATCCAGAGATTACATCACTCAGCTTGGGGCCTGGAGGTCCTGCCATGAATTTTCTTCCTGGGCATCCCTGCACCCAGCCTGGGTTCCTCTCTGCAAAACGACGATGGGAGAGCAGCACGCAGGACTGTGCGCGCAGTCTGAGTTCACACCTTCTGACAGGACAGCAGGTATTGTGGCATCCCATAAAAGCACCTTAAATCAACTATTAGAGCTCACCTCTAATTAAGGACTTGCTGTTTTGTGATGGATTAAAGAGGATTTTTGCTTTGAGCATTCACAAAATGAGGAATTGGGGAACGTGGGGGGGCGGGATTCTTGTCTAAACAGCCTGACCAAGGAAAGCTTCTCTCCCATCTTGGGTGGGGTTTGCTATGTTTGATTTAAAAAGCCTCACATGGATGGGAATCACAGCTTTTCAAAAAAGCCCACCCACACTCCCATACAACAGACCGATGTGGCCCTGGTAGCCCTCTCACAGACGGGGACAAACGCAGAACACAAGGCCATGGGTTGCGTCGCTTTTGGCAAGTACCTGCAAGACGACTTTGACTTTAAAACGTTTTAAGGTCTGGCCTATGCTACAAAGTCAGGCTGGCCTAACTGTCAGCTGGGAGCACCAACACAAAACAAAATTCACCTGAAGTGACCCAGCCTTGTCCATCAGAACATGCTGCAGAGACGTTCTCCTGGCAAAAGAGCCCTTTCTGGAGGGTATTTCATGTGTGGCAGGGCACGGTCCGGAGACAACCCGCTGGTGTGAGCCATGTCCTGGCAAGGCTCTGCTGCCTGCAACAGGGGTGACGGACCATTTATTCCTGTGCCTGGACAAACAGCACACACGCAGCACTGCCAGGCACTGCAGGGATCGGGGCAGGATTTCACGTGCCTCCTGAGTCTCTCCAGCTCTGGCTGCTGAGGAGCTCCTGGATTTCTGAGGGTATTTCAGAAAACGAGGAGAGGGGATATAAATACACCTGCCTTCACTCTGCGGGTGCGCAGGCAGGAGCAGCGTGTCCCTTGCCCGCTCACACGCTTCCATCAGAGCCAGGAACCAGCATGTACCCCAGGTGTCTGACAGGCACCTCCTGTGACTGCAGTAAGTCTACACTTGCTCTTTCATGGAGGTTCACCAAAACCCCACGTGTACTGTCACGAGGTCACTGGTGGTTGGCAACGTCCCGTGGGGCCTTTTCTTAGACAGACTACGTACTCAGAACTACACTCCTGAGGAATGCTTTTTGCCTTGCTCTCGATGGAGCATGACTTTTGTTTGGTTTCTGGCTAAATGTCTGAGTTAAAAATACAAGGCTATTTCTGGCAGAAGTGGGTTTTTTTCTGCCTTTGTATTGCCTTGGATGCCCCCGTGCTGCTGTCTCCTTTCTGGCTCAGATGAGCTTTGTTTTCCTTCTCAATGATCATGTTTGCACCGGTGAGCAGTAGGAAATGCTTTTCCTATTAGAACATTTCCACGAGCACTGTTGGGAATGAAGAATGAGCTCAGAGAAGTCTAAAAAAAAACCAGTTGGTGTAAAGATCCTGTCTCCAGTGGTCAGAGAACTGAAAATCAGGAATGTCTGTGGTCAAAAAGGGACGCGTATGTGCGCACATGCACACAGGTACAACAGGATATGTTCTCCCCATGATCCGCAGAGCAGGAACAAACGATTCAGTGCTAGAAATACTTTCAAGCATCCCCACTCTTCATCCCAAGCTCTGCAGCTCAGACCCTTTTTTACCCAGCACGAAAATATTTTATTTCACTTTTCTTAAATGCCAAGAAAAAATAGGCCTATCCTTCCTGGCTTGGATTTATTCCATCTGGAATCACTGCATGATCACAGGACTGTGATAGTGTGTTACAGCCTCGGTATAAAGCAAGAGCCCAAATACTTTCAAAACACTGGTGTGATCATTAAATCTTTGCTGTTACACTCCACCTCCCGCCAACAACAAGCTGAGGACTTGGGGCTTCTCACTCGACATCACTGAGTTCAAATATCTCCAAGCCCCCTCCCACGATCCAGAAACATGCCACCTTTTGTGGGTGTGATCCCTCTCTCCAGGACTGAGAACAAAACCAACACAGCTGCAGGAAGCCTCCCCAGTACATGGTATTTGCCACACGTCACAACAAACATGAACATAACCAGAAGATAATGGTCTAACAAACAGCTCAATTGTTCGGGCTGAAGACATCAAAAAGGCACGTGGAGAGCTTTCCAGGGCACGGATCCCCACCACCTTCTGGGGAGCCAAGCACAGACCGAGTCAGAGCTCTTCAACACCTAACACAGGACGTTCTGCGTGCCAGTAACCCATAAATCACTGACATCAGGGCCAGCTCCTCTTGCCAGCTTCTGCCCTTTAAGCATGCTCCACCTAACTTGCTTTCAAAGAGAAGCTCCTAGACAATGATTTTCTATCATCTCTTCCTAATGACTGACAAATTCAGAGAGACCACTCTGCACATTGCCACTCTGGAGATCATCAATGTGATCAGGAGATGAGAGGGAACAATACCCATGGTCCTAGATTTGGCAAAGGCAACCAACGTTTTTGGTTGCTCATCAAAAACCTGAAAAGGGCTCTGTTTCCTGAAGGCAACAAGCCCACTTCTCATGAACCCCAGGAGGCTGATCAAGTCAGGCTCCACACAGCAAGGGTTCCAAAGTGCTGTGTTCTTCTGGAATTCAAGGCATTACATCCTGACAGTCACAAACTCAGGAAAGTTCAGGTCTAAACTCTCATCCCTCAAGAGGTTACCAATACCACCACTGAATACCAGCTCTCATAAACCAGTTCATGATGGAGGTTGGTACTATTGTTCTGCTTAATGGACAGCGAAGCTGAGGCTCAAAAAGGCAAAATTACTTACCTACAGTTGCCCAAACAGTCAACAGCAGAGCTAGATGCAGGCTCTGTTTTCCAGCCAACAGACCATACTGCCACCCCCATACCGGGTTAGAAATGAGCTAAGAATGACCATGGTATAAGAAACTCCCAGATCAGTACTGGAGGAAAAAAACCATCTTCCTACCGACTGTGACATCTGGACTCGGACTTCACTGGTATCCAGTGGCGATGTACGTGACCCCTGGGACTTTGTCTCTGAACTGGATTGGTGCTCCTGGTATTTCTTTGACCTTGCAGGTAATGACAAGAACTCTTTTCCAGAGATCTTCAGGTCTCCCACGTGATGGCTGTCCCCATTCTGGTCCTTGGGAAAGCAAGAAATAGTCATTGCACAAATTGCTTGTCTCGTGTTTATGTGGAGATCTGTTGGCAAGTAGCCACAGAACAGGAGACACACAGAAGCAAGAAGTTAACCTGGAGTTTAGATGGTATGAGTTGCTACTCATGATGTGCAGGTTGAATGAGGACATTTTGCCTATCTCTGCAGTGAGTGATTTTAAGTAGTAGAGAGGAAGCATCACCCAAACAATACACAGTAGTCAACTTCTCCACAGGGAGAAGTAACATCCTCTTAAAAAATCCAGTTATGGAGGTAGAGACATGAACGGTTTACTTACAGGCACAGGGAATGATGAATGAAAGGTCCAGAAGCAGTCGCTGCTGCTACTGATTTCTGGAAACTCATAAAAACCTCTTCCAAACAGAATGGCAAGTTCATCGTGCCAAACTCTTGGCACAAGCCCCTCCACTTGCTGAATCTTCACTTCTTCCCAGCACCCAGCCGTGCTGCAGCCCACACTGCCCCATGGATAACCTGACCATGCCCCAGGAAATGTGGCTATGCTAGATGCTCCACAGCATTTCCCGCCTCTAGGATTTGGCTCCCAACACACACGGAGCATTGCCTGCCTGTGTCTCCCACTGGCTCCAGCGAGAAGAAGGGCCTGTACCCAATGGTTTCCTAAAAAGCAGATCAACATGAACAGCTGGAGTCCCACTCAGCCCTTTTGCCAACCCTCATGCTACCAGAAGCACATGGGGACAGCAGGGCAACATGACTAATGACAGCAGATGGTTACAAGCAGTCCCTGTTCTCTCACTGCTGTCCTCCGCTGCTCTCTTAAATGGTTCTGCTCAGTGCTCTCATGGACATATAAAATACAGGATTATCGCCCCCGTGTAATGCATGGGGAAACTGAGGTCACAGACGTTACGCATCTCTTGAATTCTAGTTTTTGTCCCTTCTCACTGCAGCTCCTCACTTTGCTTTTCCAGGTCCTGCCCCGTGCCTGGCTTCTCCATTCTCACCCCCTTCCCGTAAGATGCACATAGCTCTATCCCTTCTCTGTCAAAAGTCTCAAGTTAACGGCCCTGTCTGTATTATCATAACAGCCTCATTACTGCTGTCATGCAGATGAGGCCCTCGTACAGAAGCACCAGCAGGAGTCTTCAGCGTTTAGCTCCAAAGACACTTATTAAAGGTACCAGGCACTTTACATGTAACCGGGGGAACTGAGTGCCTCGACCTGCTTGATGCTTTGGGCTGCAGTGTTTCTGGGCTGCAGACCACCTCTTTATCATACATAAAGCACTGAGGGGACTCCCCAGGGTGTCCTCACTGCAGCAACTACGTGCAGGCGAAAGAAGCTTGAGCACAGCTCAGGAGATGACCCACGGGCTCACGAGGTTGGGATTTAAGGGTACATAGACCGAAAAGCCAAGGATATTGAACAGGATCTGAAGTCACAGCGTGCCGACAGCACTGTGGGATGCTGCAGCCAAAATGACTTTTCCATTCCTTGCAATACAAACAGAAATAGTGAGAACATGTCAGGAGATTAATTTCCCTAGATGATACTGATGGTACCAATTGCAGCCAGGTTGGTGTCCACTTTGAAAAGCAGCCACAAAAGTGGATTTCAGAACTGGAAAGAAACTGCCTTATAATGCCTTACTGCCTTAGCTAGAGCCCTCAAACTGTTTAGTTCATGACAAAAAGAATAGATGACTCAATTACAGCACGTAAGCACCTTCAGGGTAAAAACCAGCATGTGATAAAGAGATTTTTATTCTGGTAGAGAGAGGAATAAACAAGAATCAATGGCTAGGAGCTAAAACCAGAGAAGCTCAAAACAAGGAATAAGGCACAGGCTGGAGAGAGCAGGATGATCAGGGAAGCAGCTATCTGCTGGGGGGTTCAGAGCTGACGTAGGTCCTTCCTGGCAGATACGCTCTGCCCAGACACGCGACTCCGTGCAGAGGCATTGGACAAGGGTTCCTGGCCTGTGCGGTAACAGGGGTCCCTGCTGACTTTGAAAGCTATCTCTGGCAGAGATGATGGGCAGAGGGGGTGAGATGACAATGAGAGGGTGCTAGAGAGATTACAGTTCACTCCACTGATTTATTCTTTGCAATCTTATCACCCTCACCATAGCAGGTTTGAAGCAAACACCACTCTCCCATGACTGTAATCACTTTTCCCTAGGAGCTGCAGTGGGAGAGAGGAAGGGGAACTGCATCCAAAACACTCTCGCCAGGAGAGGTGAACTCGCACACACCCCACAGGACCACTGCAGGGGGAACGGGACGACTCATGTCTGACTCTGCAGTTAGGGACCACCCACAGCTCCTGTTTACTCCAACCCCCACCGGAAAATCCCTGAAATCCCATAACCCTGCCTGAACTATCGAATGAGGTTCAGCTTTTACAGCAAAGAACAGGAAACCAACAGCACTAACACCATTAGCAAATCACACATCAACAAAACTCTCCCTGCCAGTCCTCTGGGCCATGCTGCTCCAACGAGGACACACAGTCGGATGTCTCCCTGTCACTGGGCATCGCTGTCCCTGCTGTCCGCACCACCGAGCTGGAGTCACCCTGGTTAAGGCAGGTGGGAGCCAAAATGGTCAACGGACGCTTGGAAGAGTAATAAAAATACATTAAGTGTGTTTGGCATTTAACTCCCAAAGAGAGCTAATTCAGGGAGGAGCTTTTGCCTGGCCCTCCCAGTGCTTCCTGGCATGTTTAGGCACTCCAACGGTTTTGCAAGCCTGAGGTTATTTCCCATTGACCATGTGCACCTACCTGCAACTCGGGCGAGTTTTTTCTGTGACACTTATGCAAAAGGAGAAATGCTCCCTGGGACACTCGGGAGAGCTGTTCCTGGAAAGCGCTGGATGAATGTAAATTATTTGTGCCAAAGACAGTCCAAAAAGGCAGAGCACAGCTGCCTGCCTGGCCACCTCCTCTGGGAACAGGCATGACTGAGCCCCACGGCAGCACCAGCGCTGCTCCTGCACAGGAGTTTCTGAGAAACTTAAGTGATCCCTGCAGGTGGAAAGGCTGAGTGCCTCCCAGCTGACTGTAGAAACAGCCTTTGCCCTGGGAAGCCTGAGAAAATGCTGATCTGCTTGGATCTGACATTTCCAGCAGCGAACCGGAGCAGAGGCAATCCTTAGAGCCCCTGGAACAAACCCCTCTGCCTCCTGCAACGCACCATCTCCTGCTTCTGACCTCTCCGTCCCTACCTGCGCTGAGCGCAGCACTCCGCTGGGCTAACAAGGCACTGAGATTTGCCACCAGCCACTAAAGGGGCTAAAATGCTAACGATTGCCCTCTCAATAAAGGGCTGCTTTTTCAAAAAAGCATAGAAGTGGCTTTTTCAGCTTTCAGTTGTTAAGTGCCTTTTTAGTTGGACCAGCTGTTCCTCTCCTCCAAGCTCTCTAGAAACCCTCTTTGGTTAATCCCATTGACTCCAATGATATCTGCTAATTGCATACTTCCCTGCAAATGAAGCCAGTCAACAAGCCATTACAGATTCCTACTGATATTTAATCTTTGAAGCCAGGCATCTTTGCTTACCTTTTCAGAAGGGAACTTCAGGAGGTCTAAGCTGTCCATGCTGTTCCTCTGGAGTCTCTTTGGCCTGGCTCCTGCAAAACAACGCACTCTCGCATCAGGAGGGTGTCACTCACTGACAGCACTACTGTCACGCAGATAAAATTCGAGCCAGGGCAGACCCTCCGCTCCTGTTAACTACAAAGTCAAAAGGACGGGATGCTGCAGCTGTGCTGTCCTTGAGACTCAAATGTGGGTTTTTCCTCTATTGTTTTGAGTCTTTTGCAAAACACTGCCACAGCAACAGCTAGGGCTGCGTGAAGCTTTTGCTATCAAACCAGTGGCCGGGCCACGCTATGACCCTGATCTCAACTGAGGTCTCTGGAATTCAGGAGTTACAAACCTCACTCTAAACAACACAAGTCAGGGGACTGACATTGAGAAAAAAATCGTAACAAAAACATAGCTTAATAAATGCATGGATTTGTTGCTTTATCTTCATGTTTTTAACTTAAAGAATGTATCTGGGATGCAGCTTTGAGCTTTTCTCTAGAGTCACGAGGGATGGAAAACTAAGTGAAGGAGCAAATATTTTCTATCTATCATAGGCCCAACCTTAAGGGGAGCAAAACCTTGCCTTGAAGCTGACAAAGAAATCAGAAAATTTGGCAGCTTTCATTGTAATTTGAGATTTCATTTTAATGCAGTATTCTAGAATAACAGAGTGAGTGAAACAGTTCAGCTCTGACTCCTGCTTTCCAAACTCCGTATCTCCTCCAACCTGCTTCCAGCTTCTGTTGCCTCACTCACTGACACAGCCAAGATTTACAAAAAGGCCCTGGGATGCCTTCACCCACATCTGGGAAAACTTCTGCTCCCCTTCCCTGATCTTTCCTGAAGGTTCAGTTTAGCTGGGCACCACTTGACATCCCACACCAGCAACACCAAACAGGGCAGACTCGAAAGCTTTGCACTCAAGGTCCCATGATAACTTCCAAGCTTCAGGGGAAATCCTCGGGGAGGGTGAATGAATGCATGTGAATTGAAACCCATCCCCGTGCTGAGCCCTGAGAACGGAAACCACTGAGCTTTGTGTGGTTCCTGCAACAGCAAACTCACCAAACCTAAAGATCCCCCAGTTTCCCACCACCACCTAACAGCACCGTTGCTTATGTTACAGCAGCCCCCACGGACCCTGTTCAAACCCTGGGTGCCACTGAGCTGCTCACTGGACAAACTTAACGAGAGAGAAGGCACAAAATTCATAAACCGATTCAAGACTGCAAGCAGAATATGGTGTTTAAATGGAAAAAACGTAGCAGGGACTCCTGCATTAACACGTGTCCAGCTCTGCCAGGACTCCAGATGCGACCGCCGTTGTCTCTAAACTGCAGCAACTCCAAAGACACTGCTGCTTTCAAAAGCTCAATCTCACTCAGCTTTGTGAGATACCAGACGAGCTCAGATCAGCTAGGACTGCGCTAAGGGTCACGCACATATATCACATCTTTGTTATAAATGACCTAAAGTTAATTTCACTGCCTCTTGCTACCCTAAAGTGATTTACCTCTTACAGCCATAAGGACTCAAATCAGCAAAATATTTCTGCGCATTTCTCTCTAGTCCAAAAAGCACATTAGCACCAGCTTCATTTTAAGGTGATTTCATTACTTGGCTTTGAGTTCAGAAGGGACTGACATCAGGGTTGGTGAATAAGTGCAGAACAGATATCAACGTGAATACACAGAGAGCAAAGAAAACAAGTAACGACAAGCAGTCATCATTTCTACCAAATTCTACCCTCTTCCGCACTGCAAAGCCAGTTGCTCACTTGGCAGCAGCTCAGTAACAACAGGATTTGATCCCGGAAGGTCAGCGATCGCTGCTGACACTGGCAAGGGTTCAGACATGGGGCTGCCCAGGGGGATTTAAATCCCTTTGGAGTAGGCAGGAAAAAAGGACTTTGCTGCCCTCAACAAAGGAGGCACAACTCTTGGGTTTACCATCTTTGTTCCAGTCTTTGCTTCTGTTTACTAAGATATCTTATCTAAGGTATCTTATGTTTGCTAATGTATCTTATGCACCTCCTGTGAGCAGGTTGGGAAAGGCTCGTGCTGCCAGATACCAGTGAAACAACAGAGTTATTTGGTAGCTGAACACATCGATTACCACAGGCTGGATGTCCGCTCAGCCGTGAAGACGGCTGAACTGATCAAGCCTGAGCCCCCTCCCACCATAAAACGAAGAGAGCTGCACCGCTCTCGGCGGGCAGGCACAACCCACCACCCTGCCAGAGACACAGGACCCCCCTTCCACGTGTCAAATGCCGCCCAAGCTTACGCTCCTCGGGGGCACCAGCGATACCAGTTTTCAGCTGAGAGGACCTGGAGCTCTTAAACACAGCTGAGGCCCTGTGCCAACTCGGCGGGAGACACGAGACACCCCCCACCCAGCTCCCATCGCTGCACCACGCTCCCACCAGCAACCTGTGGGCATCAGCACGGAGGAGGCAGCTGCTGCCGGCCCCGGGGTCTCCTCCCACGCTGCCAAACAAGCAAAGGGCTTTTGGCTGCTGCCACGTCGGTCAGGCAGGAGCTCAGCGGCGTGTTGTGCCTGGTGGCTCCCAGTTACGCACAATGACATTCTGGACATCGCTGTAGCTGCTCACGGCGCTCAGCTTCCCCCAGAATAACCTAGTCTTACGTGTGGAGCAGCGAGGTGGGTCTGGAATAAAAGACACCTACAAACACTTAATCAGATGGTACATTTGGGTTTCAAAGCAATGCCCAAGAGGCGAGGCCAGCATCTGGAAGCGAGCGTGCGTCACAGCAGCTTTTAACGGCCACTTCCAGGAAAGCAAGAAAGAAGCAAAGTGTGTCTGATTAGATAAACATCATTTCCAACAGTCTAAAGAGTCGTTAATTATACACCTCCATCCTCAGGTGCTTTTTTACATTTGCAGTAGCATTAAACTGCTGGCCAGAAACCATTAATCTCTGATCTGAGAAAACCTGCCTTCCCCTTTGTTAATTTAATATACGTAGTCAGCTGAGACTACCCCAGCAATTAGGGCATGCAGAACAATTTGTCTTTTTCAGTTGTTTTGATGCTGGTGTTCCTCTGTTACCATGTCGATCTCACATTCAGTTGAGCTAAGGGAGGAAGAAGTTAGGAGTTACAAACTTCAGAGCCATCCAACTCAGCTATTTTCTTCCAGAAGAAAACACAGGCGGCGCCGGGGCCAAGCGATGGCCTCACAAAAGCCCGCGGTTCTGCCACCCCCACTCACCACGAGCTGTCCCGCAGGCAGAGCAAGCAGCGCCATTAAAACAAGCAGCTAGAAGAATTAAGAGGTTACCTATAGTCAGGGCTACCGTTAACCGGATCGACACAGGCAGTAACTCCCACGGCATGCGTGGGAGCTTCTCCCCTTTACTCCACATCAGACAGACTCGGTAGCCTGCACATACTCATCTCCCAGGAGAGCAGAGACATTTCCATACTCACAAGTGCCCCATGACAGGAGGAGTCCCATTAACTTTCTGTCTCTGACCAGGACATTCCCTCAGATGGTTCCAGACGTAACTCTCAGCCTCCTTCAAGTTATTTTTCCCAGAAATGCCTGTAGCACCGCCTAACATTCAGCAGTTCAACTCAGCCTCCTTCTCCCCAGTGCCGATCAACAGCAGCAGCCGTGGATGCAAAAGATTGAGCAGCTGAAAACCTGGGTCTGTTCCTCTGGAAGGTTTTTTCCCTCTCTCTCCAGTATTTATTGGCATGTTTACCAAGCCTACTGCAGAGTAACGGAAAACCTCAGGGGCATTTCTAAATGCTCTCTCTGTCTTTAAGGTTTGCTAAGGTCTCTAACAGAGCAAGTTGAAACCTTCTTGTGAACATCAGCTGAGCAATGCTACTGACTGGCTGTATTCATGCCTCGTTTTCCTGGAGCTCTTCAGATGTTGTTCTTCTCAGTGCTCATGCTCAGGGTTGTTGTCTCTTTTTTAAATATTTTTTTTCAAAATCTCTTCCCCCCCACCTCCCCATGATCTCAACACCACCATGAACCAAGGGTTTTAGGTTGGGTTTTTTGTTTGTTTTGGGTTTTTTTTTTTTTTTTTACATATTGCTTTTGCAGTTTGGCTCCTGAGGTGAGTTTAACGGTTTTCACATTCCTGTATTTTAAAACTTGATGAAGCAGTCACCTCCCTTCCTTTCAGGGAAGGATGAACTTCAGTGAGGGGAAACTTTACTGCAACAGAGCAGAGCGGGATGCTTGTGTGCTTGCTTGCTTGCATACGAGACATCTTTGCTTCCTCCCGCTCCTTCACATCCCATTTCAAAAATACTCCCTATTCTTCTGTCTGTGGATCCATCCACATCAGACACCCATCAAGACCCACATTTTCCCTGTCTCACATTCCCACCCTGCAGAGATGAAGACAGCCCCTCTGCACATCCTTGTGCTACCTGTGATGTCATGGATACAGGAACCTTTATCTACAATCTCTTCTTTAAAGCCAAAAGTTTGGTAGTGCATGCTCCTTCCCTTCCTCAGGCTTTTTAAGCTGATCAACGCAGAGCTACACCAGGCCCTGCATGTCTGATAGAGAAGCTAAACCAGAGAGTTGACATGGTGCACGCAGCAACCACAGCACCTTCCCCCCCATTCTCCTGTCCCCTTGGTATCTGCCACCAGCTCCGTATTGCCTGGAAGGGCAGGATCAGTATGGGCTCTAGAGGGAAGGACTCTATTCCTGAAGCCACCGGCAGGTGCTCCAACAGGCAAGTCCTTGGTTTTCAGGATGCAATTAGAGGAGAAACGCTCACATGGCAGAGTATCTCTAGCAGCACCTTGTTTCAAAGTGAGATCTAGCCACAGAAAACACAAGGAAGCTCTTTATTGTACGATGACGATAGGACCATCCCATATAAATGTGCAGTAGAGCAAAGACAGTGAGGGCAGAGTTTTGTTCCTCTATGGACAGTCTCCATGGCCAGCTGGCACTCCTGAGATTTCAAGGTTGACAAGATGGAGCAGAACATGTGTAGCAGCAACTCAGGGAGCCCTGCCAGGAGCTCTCATCAAGTTGACATG